GGATATTAACATGAGAACCAAAACGAAATACGTTTTTGTTTAATTTATTGTAAAACCCCACAAGTATAGGTAGGTAATATGTTGTATTAATGAGAAAGTAAGTTGAATTAACCAAGGTTCAAATTTTGTGCAACCATAATCATAGTTAGGCAACCTGGCACGCTCCAAATGTTTTAGATTTATTCCCATAAAAGATAGTCAGGAGCAAGGAGTTGTGGGAATTGTAGTAAAAAAAAAAAAGTCGTAGTAGAGGGCTTTGGCTGGAGAGATCAAATTTCCTCTCAAAAGGGTTTGGTCAGTATTTTATTATTTGTTTTAACAATTCAATATTGCAATTGCTTGGGAACATTAGTGGGTATCTGCAGGAGGAGGAAAGGGGATCAAGAATCATCATGGATATCATGATATAATTGCCTAAATGATACAAATTACAAACTTCTTTCATTTGCACAATCACTTCATGACATCATCATGGCTTCTTTTGAATCACTTAAGCAACACTAATATAAAGTTATAGTGTGATTATACATGATACAAAGGTTTTATCCTTATAAAGCAGGGTCCATGCTGACTCAGGAATTCTGGGAATTGAAGTCCGCAATTCATAAAGGGGTCATAGTTCCCCACCTCACATAGACAATATATTTAATAAAATTATTTATTTGCTTGTAGTTCTCCTTGATATAGGAATTAACTAACACATGGGAAAATAAAGACAAATGTCAAATACAATATAATTTTTTCTTGTTATGCTTAGACAGCTTTTTCCCCTTGACTTTCATTTGCCTTTCCTTCAGTGAACAAAGAAAGGGAAGCTTCTTCCATATTAAATATTGCTTTATAAATAGAATTGCTGTCCTGTTCCATAGTCCCAATTTTTTTAAAAAGAAATCTCTTTGGGAGATATGACTAAATTACCCAAATTAAAACTATTTTTGGTTTGTTCTCTCACTATCGTTTTTGTCCTCAAGCATTTAATTTGGAGTGGACTAGCAATGATAGCTGTAGGTCAGATTCCTCAATCTGTGGCCTCCAAAAGTACTGACTACAAAACCCATCACTCTGATTGAAGCTGGTTTAAAAGCTGGGAGCTTATACTATAGTTTTACTATCCAGTGAATAGTTCCGTTAGACTTTTTAGTCACAAAATAATGATGATGATGATGATGATATTACACAATTGAATGGATCAATAGAAGTCTTCAATTTAAATGCAGTAATATACCAGGCAACTGTTTTGCAACAAAAAGAACTGTTTTGAAATTATGTTTATTTTAAATGACCTATTTTAAAAAAGACATTCCTATTTCCTTTCATAGAAAGGAATCTGTTTTTTAAAAAAATATTAGTTGTTTCTTAAAAGCAGGACGCTGGCCTTTTTGCTTGAAAAATATCATTTCTAATTGATACATAAAATATTTAACTGATAATTCTTTTAAGGAAAAATATGAAGTAACAGGATATTAGACCAGCAAAATACTGTGGAAATAATATATTTAGATTTCAGCAAGGCATTCGACAAAGTAGACCACAACCTACTTCTTAGTAAGCTAGAAAAAAGTGGAATAGATAGCACCACCACTAGTTGGACTCGCAACTGGCTGACAAACCATACTCAATGAGTAGTCCTTAATGGGTCTAAGTCTACATGGAGGGAAGTAAGCAGTGGGGTGCCACAAGGTTCGGTCTTAGGCCCAGTACTCTTCAATATCTTCATTAACGACTTAGATGAGGGAATAGAAGGGGAACTTACCAAATTTGCAGATGATACTAAGCTGGCAGGAATAGCTAACACCCAAGAAGATAGGCTCAAGATCCAGATGGATCTTGACAGACTAGAACACTGGGCCTTATCTAACAAAATGAAATTCAATGTAGAGAAAAGTAAAGTCCTACATTTAGGCAAGAAAAACCAAAAGTACACATATAGACTGGGTGAAACCAGGCTCAATAGCAGTAACTGTGAGAGGGATCTTGGAGTCTTAGTGGACAACCAGCTAAATTTGAGCCAGCAGTGTGCAGCAGCAGCCAAAAAAGTTAATGCAATCCTAAGTTGTATTAACAGAGGGATACAATCAAGATCAAGGGAAGTACTAATACCACTCTATAAAGCCTTGGTAAGACCACACCTGTTGTGAATCAATAAAAGTGAATAACCTAAATGCAAATTAGGGGTT